TTGTTGTTGTTGTTAATGTAGGAGAACTGAAGCGGGTTAAGTACCTAATATGTATGGGTTGCATCTGTATTGAGCATACAGTCCATTAAAATCAATCAGGCTGGTTATGACTAACTTAAGTATTATTAGTTTCATTGAGTCACCTTTAATAGGCATGGTTAAGTCTGGATCCATCTTGAAGTGTTAAACTGAAGTGACTCTTCCAGTTCACTTGACCATATTGATTGGCAGCTGATTTCTGAATGGAGAATATGAGGAAGTGAACTAACCGTACGTTTTTTATCATTTTAGAAGAAATACCACATTGACTCACACAATTTGCAACTTACTAACCAGTCAACCACTGTCTCTATATTTGGTGCCATGTATACGTGCATAAAATAGGCTGTGTAATCTCACTCTTATGTCAGAGGAAGTGGATTTGATCCATGAAAGCTCACATTAAAATATAGCAGTTAGTCTTTGAAGTGTCACAATGTGGGGTTTTTTTTTCTTTTAGTTTTTGACTGTTCTTACAGGGGGGTTTGAGTGTGTCAGAGATATGGAGAGCAATAATGCCAGGAGGCTAAATTCTACTGGGACTTCTAGCAGAATCATCAAAGGCAGGACAATCAAAGATGAGACAACAGATTAAGAAATACCCACTCTCTTCTGGAATTCCAAGTAGCATGAATAAAAGGGAATTGATCGTTCCAGTCATTATAGGGGAGAGGAATGCTTGAACAGCACCTAGAAGGCAGCAAGAGTAGTGGAAGGCGAAGGACATTCAACAGACATAGTTTTGAATCCTGCTACTTACATATGGCGGTATAAATGCAACAGCTAACATTGCAGGGAGTGAATTCCTGCTCATTAAGGTATCATTGCTTATGTTTCTCATTGTGCACCACATCATGCAGTTGGTGCATGATGGTGCATTTAGTCCAGTTGGTGGACTAAATACAAGGGTCAACTCTTTATCTCGTAGCAGTTTGTTGCTGTAGTCTGTGTCACTGCACATAGCATCTGCTTATGTAAGTAATAAGATTTTGGCCAGTGATTTGTGCAGTCTAATTGTTATGCAGAAGTGCCTTAGAAAATCACATGATGAGACAATCATGATAGATCGAGGACTTTTAAAATAACCATTACAAAGAAATAGAAGGGAACAACAAAAAAGGGAAAATAAGTGGTCTCCTTCAAAAGGTCCAAGAAATTTTAAACCTAAATTAGGGATGCCGCAAGATCAATGAGAAACATATTATCTGACCAGGGTAAAATGAAAAGAAGATGACACACATGGGTAGAGTGAAGGAGTTCTTCAAAGCAGAATCCTTTGATGAAAAATGTGCAATTTTAGGAAGTGAGGTAAAAGCTTTTCTTGGAAGATGTACTTGGAAGAAAGGAGGAATCGATGGGATTCCATTGGAGCTGTTTCAGGCTATGAAGAATTAACATGCTAAATCCAGCCGTATACCAAAAGTTATGGAAATATACCAAAAGATATGGAAATAGTAACCCTTTAACTGGAAATATTCAACATACATTCCAATTTTTAAAAGGATGCAAAAGAATTCTAGATCTCCTTTTCCATGCGAGCAAAGTGATATTCAAAATTTTACGACAAAGGCTTTCTCCAAATACGTAGTGAGAAGTGTAACTGGATTAAAAGAAGAAGAGGCACTAGAGATCATGTAGTGGATATATGTTGGCTACTGGAGTGTAGCAAAGAATTTCAGAAGAAAAACACTCTTAGCCTTATTGTTGTTAGGTCTCGTCAAGTCACCTCTGATTTATGCCGATCCTATGAATGACCACCCTCTAAAGTGTCCTGTCCTCAACAGCCATGCTTGCTATGAATGTAAAGTGTCCTGTCCTCAACAGCCATGCTTAGGTCTTGTAGAGAAGTCTGTGGTTTCCTTTAAATAGTGAGTTCATCTCATATTTAGTCTTCCTCTTTTCCTGCTGCCTTCACCTTTACCAGCATCATTGTCTTTTCCAGAGAACCCTGTCTTCTCATGATGTATGCAAAGCAGGACTGCTTCAGCTTCAGCATTTTTGCCTTCAGAGCCGGTTGAGATTTATGCAAAGCAGGACCACTTCAGCTTCAACATTTTTGCCTTCAGAGCCGGTTGAGATTTGATTTGATCTAATTCACACTTTTATTTTTTTTTTTTCTAGTGGTCGAGGGTATCTGCAGAGCTTCTCCATCAGTAATTTAAAATATGCAGATGAGCTCATATGGCTGGCAGAAAAATAGCCCTGAGTTGAAGTAACTGGAAAATTAAAAAGGATAGTGCAAAAGTTGAAATGTGAGAACAACTAAATAATGACTACAAATGAATTGCATAGTTTTAACACTGACAATGAAGAATTCAAAATCGTTAAAACTCTTCCGTGTTTTGGTTCATTTATCAGTCAAAATGGAGACTGCAGCTAAGTGGTGTTTTGGTTCAGTTATCAGTCAAAATGGAGACTGCAGCTAAGAACTGAGAAGACTGACCTTCAGAAAAGCAGTTAAGACAAAATTAGCCAAGATCCTTTTGTGTAAGAATATTTTGCTGGCGACTAAGACCAGGATAATCCATAATACAGTATTCATAATCATTGCACATGGGTGTGAAGGCTGGATGATGAAGCTAACCTGACAGGGGGAAAAAAAAAGATTTGTTTAAAATGTAGAGTTGGGAGAGGCTTTTATTGAATACCATAGATTTGTCTTTCTGAAAGACAAATACCTAGATTCTAAACAAAATCCTGAACGGACACTTGAAGCTAAAATGACAAAACTGAGGCTATTGCAATATGAACCTATGAGGAGAAGACAGAACTCATTGAGAAGGATAATATTGCTAGGAAAAGTGAAAGATAGCAAGCAGGCAAAGAGAAAGACCAAATATGAGATAGATTGAGCCAATAAAGGAAGCCATAGCCCTTAGTTTGTAAGACCTCAGGAGACCAGTTAATCATCAACGACTGTAAATAGCCCATCTAATTACAATTCGTGCTACTCTATCATTGTTGTTTTACCATTGTTTATTTATTATAAGGTTCTCACTTCCTTTACAGCATAAGCTTCTATGAAAGACCTGCATACCAAGAATGTTATTATCACAGTGTTTAAAACCTATTGACTTTCTTGCCAACAACCATGATCTCTGTACAGTGGTGCCTCGCAAGACGAATTTAATTCGTTCTGCGGTTAATGTTGTCTTGTGAAAAATTCGTCTTGCGAAATGCGTTTTCCAATAGGTATGCATTGAAATCTAATTAATGCGTTCCCATGGACAAAAAAAAAAGTCAGAACAAAGTCAAATTTGGTTTACAAAGGGTTTATTAAGTGCTCTTTAAAGCCATACATATTGTACAAAATTTCAATCAAAAAACTTTAACTTTTTAAACATCATAGAAAAACATTTAAAAATCAGCAAACATGAGGCAGGAACAAAAAAACGGAAAACATCCGTCTTGCGAAGCACGGCCATAGGAAGACTTGTCTTGCGAGTCATCAACCGCACTGCCAAAACCATTTGTCTTGCGAGTTTTTTGTCCTGCGAGGCATTTGTCTTGCGAGACACCACTGTATTTTTATATCTATACTTTGATGCCATATATAAACCTTTGCCATGTTAGATCTCCTTCTCTTACAGTATGTCTGATGAAGTGGACGTGTCCACGAAAGCTCACATGAAAAAAATATGAAAGTTCATTTTTAAGGTGTCACCCCCCCTATTTTTTTCCTTTTGTTTTCACCGATAATGCTTGCTAACACAGCTACCCCTTCTACAACTACAGTTAACCACAGGATCTTTTGGATGTCATTAATCTTAAGGTCAACATTATGTCAGAAGTAATTTGACAGGAGCTGAAATCATGTTGCCTAGCATAGTAAGTTGCACTTGAGTATACCCATTGTACTTTAGTTGTAGGCCCATTTAAATCAGTAGAACTCATGGAAGAGTTGACTCACTACCATATCTTGACATATTCAGTGAGCCTACTCTAGTGTGGCCTTCTTAGCCCCACTAGATGCTGTTCCAAGTCCCATATTGGCCTACTCTAGTGTGGCCTTCTTAGCCACACTAGACGCTGTTCCAAGTCCTCCATACAGAGCACGTTACCATAATCTCTCGAGACTGAAGGATGCCTAAAGAAAGATTCTAGTATGACTTGCTGTGCTAAGCAACATGATTTCAGCCAGAGTGTAACCATTTTCCCTATGTTTTGTATTCTCCAAGATTGTATGAGTGCGGCCTACTCTAGTGTGGCCTTCTTAGCCACACTAGACGCTGTTCCAAGTCCTCCATACAGAGCACGTTACCATAATCTC